ATTGTGGGTAATTTAACTAAGAAAGTTTAGAAAAATCTTGGAAGTCTAGAAGGGAAATCTAGGAGACATTGCTCTGCTTTATGTCTGTTAGTTCTTGCTTGGCTTTAAAGTTATAGAAACTAGAAATGGATATGGGAATATGGCACAGTATGATTTACACAAAAACCTTAAGCAGTGCTCCAGTCTGTAACTCGTATCTAAGAAAAGGCCATCACTAAATATTGTTGAGCCAATGCGCATTTATGGGTTTAAGTTTCAGTGTTTATGGTCTGTTTGTTTTATGATTCTTTATTTTATCACTTTTAATTAATCAACTAATTACCAGTCATAATTGAGTCAGCCAGAAGGACTTCAGTGTTTCAAAAGGCTAGCGTTATCCTCAGTCATTTCAACATCTTTTAACTCTTTGGAGCTAGAAGGTATTTTATTAAAGATAATCTGCGTCACAAATGAGGTTGCCCAGGCTCCAGAGAAGATGTCCTTGACCATGGCCCCAACGTGAGTAAAGGAGGGAAATAATGGCTTCTCCCACTGCTCTCTACTAGAAGACAGTTCTCTGGGGGCCAGAAGAATGCTGTGATAGGCAGAATAATGGTCCCCGAAAGATGTCCATGCCCTTACACCTGAAGCCTCTGAACATGTTATTTACATGATAAGAAGGACTTTACAGATGTAATTAAGGTAAAGGACCTTGAAATGGGGAGATTATCCTGGATTGTGTGGGTGAGCCAATCTAATCACATGAGTCCTTATAAGTGAGAGAGGAGGCAGAAGAGTGAGTCAGAGATACAACAAGGTAAGAAGAGGCAGGAGGGAGTCAAAGCATGAGAGGGTTTGATCTATCATTTCTGGTTCTGAAGATAGGGGAGGGGAGGTGGAGCAAAGAAATGCAGACAGCCCCTAGAAGCTGGGAATGGCCCTCAGCTGACAGCTAGCAAGGAAATGGGATCTCTGTCCTATAGCTACAAGGAACTTCATTCTGCTAACAACCTGAATGAACAAGGGAATGGGTTCTCCTCTTGAGCCCCCAGAAAGGAGCGTGGCCCTGCCAATACCTTGATTTTAGCCTGGTGAGATTCGTGTCAGAATTCTGATCTATAGAACTTTAAGATAATAAATTTGTGTAGCTTAAGCTGCTAAGTTTGATGTAACTTGGTACAGCAGCAATAGAAAACTAATACAGTGCATTGGTGACAGACCCTCTCTCTGATTCAGAATATTCTGGTGCATAGCAACTGATGTCATAGGAAAGATTCTAGAAGAGCAGGTCATGGAGAAGTACTTGTGGTTTAGAAGCTCTTGGGTGAAGGTAAGTGGGTTATCGAGGAAGTGGAATCTGCAGAGTCCAGGGAACTGAGTGCAGGTAGAGCAACTTTCCTGCAAAAGGTCAAAGCTGCTGCAGTGGCTGCCCCTCCCCTCCCCCGAGGAGGCCCCAAGGCCTGCAGAGGGCCTGGTGAACTGGTAAGCTGGTATAGGATGTGCAGGAACTGGGACAGATATGATGATATCCAGGTGCAGGAGACACTCAGCAAATCCATTTCCTGCTTATACGATGACCATTCTGTTGGGAAGAGTTGGCTTTTTCCCATTCATTCATTCATTCATTCAACAGAGATTCACAGAGTGCCTACTATACACCAGGCTCTGTTCTAAGTTCTGGGGATAAAGCAGAGAATAAAACAGACCAGGTTTCTGCATTCCTGGTGTTTACACTGTGGTATGAGAGAGAGACAAATAAATGAACAAGGTAATTTCTGAAATTGACTTATTTTATGAAGAAAATAGAAATGATTTTCTGGGCTGGAGCAGTGATCAGAGAGTCCTATTAGAGATGCTGAGCTTATTTTTGAGCTGAGACCATGACCAGAAAGAGCAAGCTCTGTGGTGGTTGGGGGAGTCATGTTCCAGGCAGAAGAAAGAGCAGGTGCAAAGAACCTGTGGTGGGAATGAGATTGGCATGTTCAAGGAAAAGAAATGTGCAAGGTGAGTGTGGTGGTGTGAATGTGAACAAGGGGGAGAGAGGCATGAAATCAAACCAGAGAGGTGCTCAGAGGCTAGAGCAGGAAGGGTCTTGTCAGCTAGGTTGAGGAGTTGGGATCTTATTTAAAGTGCCAGGGGAATCTACTGGAGATGGGTGATGTGACTGGATATATGTTTTTAAAGAGGATTTTCTAGTTACTGTATAGATAATAGGGATAGGGGGACAGGAGAGGATTGTGGAGTATCAGAGTATATCTAGGAACCTCTACAGAAGTCAGAGATGATGGTGATCTGGACTGGGATGATGGCAGAGAAGATGGCAAGAGGTGGATTGGTTTTGGAAAAACAAGGGGACAGGGCTCCCAGTGATTTCACTGCAGGGGAAGAGGGAAGGAGGGAGGACTCAGGATGCCTCTTATGAGTATGTCTGGGAGACAGATATCATCTGAAAATATCGTTTGCTCTGCTGGAAAATGTAAACATGGACTTCTCTTCCAGTATGCATTGGAATTCAGTTATTAAGCTAAGGGCAAGGATGTGTGACCATAGCTCAAAAGACAAGTATCTGCTGGGGATTGAATACTTTGCATATTTAACTCATTTACTTTTCAAATCAACACAATTAGGTGAGTATTAATTTAATCATCATTTAGATGAGGAAACTGAGGCACAGAGAGGCTGAATAACTGTCTTAGATCACTCCTGGGATTCCTAAAATCCCAGCTATTATGGGGCAAAGTCAGAATTTGGACCCAGGCAATCTGACTCCCGAGTCTGAGCACTTAAATGCTAGGCTAGGCCCTCCTCGACAATGTATTTGGTATAACGGTGATGTCTGTAAGTAATCATGTGACTTAAGAGTTTAGACAAATGTTTAAAAGTGAAATTCTTGGGCACCTGGGTGGCTCAGTTGTTAAGCGTCTGCCTTCGGCTCAGGTCATGATCCCAGGGTCCTGGGATCGAGCCCCGCGTCAGGCTCCCTGCTCAGTGGGGAGCCTGCTTCTCCCTCTCCCACTCCCCCTGCTTGTGTTCCCTCTCTCGCTGTCTCTCTCTGTCAAATAAATAAATAAAATCTTTAAAAAAAATAAAAGTGAAATTCTTCTAATTCAGGAATATACTTATTTATTTCTAATTTTTCCCAAGCTAGACATTTAGGTCATCGGTTCTCAACAGGGGACAGTTGTGTCTGCCAGGAGATGTTTGGCAATGTATGGAGACATTTTTGTCTGTCACAACTGAGGGGGAGAAGCTACTGGCATCTAGAGGCCAGGTGTGTTCCTAAATAAACTCCAGTGCACAGAAAAGCCCCCAGGACAAAGAATTTTCCAGCCTAAGTGCCAAGGTCAAGAGGCCCTTGTGCAGATGAATGTAGGCTGGTGGACACGAATACACCTGTGAATGATGACAAACAGGAGGGTGCAATTAGTTGTCCAACTGATACATATTTTTGTAGTGTTGGGGGCTGTAGGGCATGCCAGGAAGAAGACATGTTATAATTTCCTGTTGCACATTCTAGTCTGAGAGATAAGACATGGCATAGAACAGGACAATCACCTGCTAGGTGTTCTGGAAGTGATTCTGAGTGCAGTAGGGGCTCAGAGAAGGAACGTTAATGCAGGATTACATCAGGTTTCAAGGAGGTGGCACCTGGAGTGGACACCTGAAGATGGAGCAGCGTTTGGGTGGAGAAAGGCATGGTAGGGTCCTGTGGATTGGGAAGAGCCATGTGTGGAGATACTAAGGTAAGAATTGGCTGGAGCATGGGCAGTGGAGTGTGGGGTAGGGAGGTGTGGGGAGGAACAGAGAAGGAGCAACGTGGGAATTCAGAGTTGACTGAATTGATTCCTCCTGATGGAGGGAGGGCAGGGTAAGGCCAGATTATAGAGGGCTCAGAAAGTCAAGTGTGGGTTTGCTATCAGGAATAGAGAACTAACAGCTTTCCCAAAGTCACATTGTATACATGCTTTGGGGACATTGAAAATACCACTTGGACGAGTTGGCCTGGAGGAGTGGAGACGAAGAGGCGGGGCTAGGTTAGGAGATAGAGATGAGGGGTTTTAGAGGATGATGATGAGGAGGGTTTAGGGGATGGAAATGAGGGGGGTTCAGGGGATGATGATGATGAGAAGGGTTTAGGGGATGACAATGAGGTGGTTTTATTGGAGTGGCAATGAGCAGAGTTTAGGTGGTGACAACAGAAATGGAGAAAGAGAAACTCAGGAGTCAATTCTCTGAGCACCCCCAATATGCAGCCCCCCTTCACAGATGAGAAAGCAGAGGCACCATGAGGCTAAGGCCTTGTCTGCTGTTGCCAGTGATGACCCCCTACTACGTGGCAGGTCTGGGCTGGACTGGGGTTTGTCTCCTTGTGTGGACAGCCAGAGAAAATCTCAGTGGAGTTTGATTTGTAGACAATCTGGAGATAAGATTGTGGCCAGGGTGAGAGCACAGCTCTGAATATATTCTAGGATAAAAGGCAATGGTGGAAAGAATTCAACATGGGAGTAGTGCTTGTGCTTGAGTAGTGGGACCACAGTGAAATTTTCCCTTCTCTTTCTGTTCCCAACACGTACCTAATGGACAAGTTGTACTTTCACAATAAAGGGGAAGAGAAGATTTGAGCTTCTGTATCTAACGTGAAAGAGAAATGAGTGAGAAGAAAATCAAGCAGAAGCCACTGGGTTTTGCTGGAGGGAAAGAATGTCTGTGTGTGTGTGGGGGTAACCTTCATAAGAGCAGTTTCCTTAGAAAATGGGGGGTCCAGAAGAGAAGGAGAGGCAGGGTTTCAGGTGTCCTGGGTTTGCAATGACATGAAGCTGAGGATTAGGGTGGGAAGAAGTATCACGGTTAAGCCAGGCAGAACTCCCCTTTCTGAACACACTGAATTGCACACCCCCACCCCACAGTGCCCTTCTTTCCCTTCAGAGAAACCAGTGTCCCTGGGATCCTGGCAGGACTTCTCTGTGACTCCGCCGGCTCCCCTGGCCATTGTTGCCCTGAGCGGCCAGGAGCCTGAGAAGATGAAGGCATCCATGGTTCTCTCCCTCATTGGCTGCCTGGTGGTTCCAAGTGGTGCTGCTATCATGGGGCGCTGTAAGGTGGCTAAGAAGCTCTATGAAGGAGGCCTGGATTATTTTGAGGGCTACAGCCTTGCAAACTGTGAGTAGGTCCCTCTTAGCCCCCTCTCCCCTCCCCTTCTTTTCCTCTGGCCCCTGCCCAGGCATCCCCACCTCTGCCGGCCTCCAAGCCACTCACCTCCTGTTCCATCTTAGGGGTGTGCCTGGCTTATTTTGAGAGCAAGTTCAACCCCACGGCCATCTACGAGAACTCACCCGGTGGCTACACTGGCTATGGCCTCTTTCAGATCCGCAGCCATGACTGGTGCGACAGGGGCAAGAACCGCTGCCACATGTCCTGCTCCGGTAGGTCCCGCCCCCTCTGTCCCACACCCGGGCACAGGGGCTGCAGCGCAGAGCGCAGAGGCCAGACTCCCAGGGGGCCAGAGTTTCCAGGTTTAGAGCAGGGAGGCGGAGGGCCTGGCAGGTGCGGGCCCGGGGAGGCTGAGTGCTTTGCACCGGAGTGTGCAGGCTGTGGGTGGCAGCCAAGGGCAGAGTCATGGAAACCCCCATCCAGATGGGCAGGATGAGAGGACGCAAGGGGGAGGCTGTCAGCATCAGAGCCCACCTGAGCCTGAAGGGTTAGAGCAGAGGGCTCTGTCTGCATGGGCCTCATCTCACCCACGCTCGGCCACACACTCTTCTTCAAGGGGAACAGTGACCACTTGGACAGGCACGAGGGGTCACTGGGAGGATACAGGAGCAGGCCATTCCTAGGGGAGCTTTCCCTGCTGCTCTCAGGGGTCCCAAGTACCTGTGGTCAAGAGGATGGATGCACTGGCCCAGGGTTCCCTCACCCTAGCATTCACTGAGCACCCACGATGTGTCGGCCTCCTGGAGCTGACATTCTAGTGCTTGCTAAGTGCAGGGTGCTCCTCTAAGCTCTTCATTGGTCTGAATTCATCTAGTCTTCACAAAGACCCCCATGACATGGGCACTGTTATTATCCCATTCTATGAATGGGGAAACTGAGGCCCAGAGAGGGTAAGTACATGCCCAGAGCCACACAGCTGTAGGTGGTGTTGTTGAGAGGCAAACCAACACAGTGCAACTCCTGAGTCAGGAGGGTCTGAGGGCCTGGCACTCTCAGGGTCTCCCTGATGAGCAAAGCTCCCTCCCCCATGATGAGTGAGAAACATTCCAGAACCTGGCTTCTGAGCTGGTTCTTTAGGAGACAGAGTGGAGAGGTCATGGTAAAGCTTGTAACCTTCTTACGTGGTCCAGGAGAAAGCCACTCAGTGTTGGGCTCCATGCTCGGCCTGGGGACTCCAGAGAGGAGTAAGATGGTTTCCAGATTCAAGGAGAAGCAGAATTGCATAGTAGGAGGGAAAGGTGCAGAAAACACACAGGAACCCAGTGGGAATCCCAGCTGTTCCCATTACGAGTGAGCTACATGAGCTTGTGTAGGTCCCTTCCCAGAGCTTTCTCATCTGTGAAGGGGGGATGACATTAGCTACCTCTTAAGGTTGCTATGAGCATTAAATGGGTAATGTATGTAAAACACTGTGCAGGGCCCATAGAAACCACGTGATAAAAGTCTAGCAGAGACCAAACATTAAGAACATAATTTAATTACTGTGATAGAACATTCAGTGTTGGCCTTGAGCTTCCTGGTAGCCAAGGCAAAAAGAGAAACCCAGTAGGCCTATAATTTATATCTCATAAGAAGATAGATTGATTGATGGACTGCCAGAATCTGACAGAAGAAACAAATAATTATCTGTAATAGAGGTGATACCAAGTGCTATGATGAAAATAGGGTGGATTAGATATCCTAAAAAACCCTCCCACTAGATAAAATGTAAAAAAAAATAAATCTGGGGCCCCTGGCTAGCTCAGTCAGTAGAGCGTGCATCACAACTCAGGTTGTGAGTTGATGCCCATGTTGGGCACAGAGCCTACTTAAAAAAGAAAAAGAAATAAACCCTCCATAGTACCTGGCTGAGCTGGCAAGAAAGTAAAATCCCTAAAGACTAAAATGAGAAGCGAGAATCCAGAGAGCTAAGTGAAGATTGAAGCTGATGAGGACCCAGGGGACATCAGGCACAGGTTTGAGGACATTGTGTAGACAGAGCCTGAGCAAGATAAGGAGGTGGATTGGAGACTCCACCGATACCCAAGATTCCAGAGAACTGCATTATCAGCTGAAGGATGAGCTAGAAAGTCCTGAAAGCAAAGACATTCTAAATAGAGGGGAAAACACCTCAAGCCAGTAAGACTCACAAGGAAGCATGGCGCCATCGAGAGATACTAACTAGGCCCTGTGCTAAGTCCTGGGGACAGTTCAGAGGAATTGTATACTGTCCTTGTCCAGCAGGGTGAGGGACAGAGAGAGCGCAGGCTTTGAGGCCACACAGAATCTTGGCTTGACATCTTACTAGTTATGTGATCTGAGTCTTAGTTTTCTTATCTGTAAAGTGGAGGTAATAATAGTACTTACCTCACAAGGCTTTTGTGAGTTTTTAATATACTACAGTGTATATAAAGTGCTGAGCCTAGTGTTGGGTATACTGTCTGGTGTGTGATGAATACAAGTTCATTCAAAGAATTTACAATGTTGCTGGGGATTAGGATGTGCGTGTGTGCATGTGAGCATATATGCACATGTGTATCTATGTATGCACATATGTATGTTTGTATATATGTATTTGAGTAGAGCTGAATTGAAGTGACATTTTATTCAGAAGACGGGAGAGGGTGAAGTGAGCTAGATGGTCAGTGACAGAGTTTTAAGGACTGTCCTGCTTAGATGAGCAGATACAAGTTGGGAGATGAGCATGAACAAAATCCAGGAAGAGGAACTGCATATAATACCCAAGCTGTGGGTATCAGGAGTGGAGCACCCACCTTAAGGGCGGGTGCAAGCTTTGTCTCCTAACCCTTGGTAGGCCTCTAACAGTGGGGTTGTGAAAGAAGGCAATGGAAGGTGAGGTTGTAGAAATGGAAAGGCATGTTGGGAAAAGGACAGACTAAGCCAAAGATTTGGGGTTCTGTTTTATAGGCAACTAGGGGGCACTGAAGTAATGTTTAAAGGAAAAGCAATCAGACTGGATTAGGGAAAGAGAGATACTGAAGTGTAGTCAAGAAGGAAGTAACCCAGGTGGGAGGTCTTGGCTTCCACATTCAAAGGAGAGAATGGAGTGTTGGTCTCTCAGAGGCACCTCTGGGCCATCTTCAATGCTGTTTCTTCTGCCTGGAACACTTTTCCTTCTGTGATCCCTCCACCCCTTTTCCTTACCTACTCTTCTAGATGTCATGTGGCCCAATAACCCTTCCCTGACCTTTCGAGTCTGAATTGGGTGCCCCCACTCACCACTCCCACATCGAACAGCATTTCCCCATCATTCCAGGTATCCTTTGTATTATAATTGTCTATGATCTTTATCTCCCCCTTTCAGACTGCAGGCTCTAGGACGACAGGGACAGATTTACTGGGTTCACTATTCTACCTCCGCTGCTTTTTATATTGCTTAGCACAGAATATTTGCTATACAAATTTTTAATGAAAATATTATTATAAGAATTAAAAGAAAAAAATCGTTAGATTTAGTAAAAGATGACCACAAGCTACTATCTCCCAGGGTTGTCTGGAAAAAAATCTAGGGATAGATTGATCCTTGGAATCACATGGAAGCCTCTCTAATGTGGACACCCTATACCTTCCCTAATGTCACTCTGACTTAGCTGCTAAGTTGTGGAGTGTATTGTTCCACTTCATTTTCTCCACAGCTTTACTGAATCCAGATTTGAAGAAGACAATTGAATGTGCCAAGAGAATTGTAAAAGGAAAAGACGGTATGGGAGCATGGTAAGTGGTACGTTTTTTGAAGTCTATGTTAATGACCTTCACCCATTATCCTTAATCCTAATCTTGGCCTAATCTTGGTCTCTGCACATCTATAGTCTCAAACTAGTGGGACCTTACCAAGCTAAGCAGTAGAACACCACTGAGTTCTACAACCCCAGGTCTCAGAAGGAAGGACGTAAATATCAGACAAATTGCCTTAAGTTGAATATACTCTTTCCTTCTCAAGTATTGTTTAGGGTTATTCAGGAGGCTAGGATGAGCAACCTTGAAATAAATCTCTCTATATATTTCTGATTATTTCTTTCATCTAAATACTTAGGTTCTTAATGCATGTTGTGAAATGACTAACAAGTTTGTACCAATTTATATTAATAATAAGAGTTTAATAAAATGCCTATTTACTGCACTCTCATCAATGATAAATCTTTGCCATTTGAAAGGTATCTAACAATTTTATCTTCTTTCGCATTTTGTGATATTCCATTAGGGCGTTTTCCCATTATGTTTGTTATATATTTAAATTTTTTCCCCCTGACCTTGTCCTTTGCTTATTTTTAAAATTCAGATGATCATATTCATTTGAAAGAACACTTTATATATTAGGTGTTAGATGTCTTAACAGATTGTTATATATTTGTATTTTTTTCATTTCACTGAAGTTCATATAAGTTGAAATAACAAACATACAACTAGATTATCCATCTTATTTACATATTCTTGGTCACTTATTTGGCACTATATTGAGACATCTTCTTGATTCTTTTTTTTTTAAGATTTTATTTATTTATCTGACAGAGATTGAGAGAAAGAGACAGAGAGAGCACAAGTAGGGGGAGCAGCAGAGGGAGAGAGAGAAGCAGGCTCTCTGCTGAGCAGGGAGCCCAATGCGGGGCTCGATCTCAGTACCCTGGGATCATGACCTGAGCTGAAGGCAGACGCTTAACTGACTGAGCCACCCAGGTGCCCCGATAGTTACATATTTGTTACCAAAAATAACTGCAACTCTGATTTCTTCTTTAAGCAGATATTTGCTTCGGAAAGCCATCTGAAATTTACAAGTGTTTGGGCTTGTTTTGACTTCTTTCACTCAATATTTGTTCATATTGTTGTGTATAGTCCTAATTTGTTTGTTCCCATTGCTGCATAGTATTCCATTATATGGATATATCAGTTTATAGATCCATTATTCTGTTGGTGGGCATTTGGGTAGTTTTCACTTTTTTAGTGCTGCCATGAACATTCTATACTTTTCTTTTAGTGAATATATAAATGGATTCACATTGATTATACCAAGGAATAAAATCACTAGTCATAGGATATGCATATTTTCAGATTTGGTGTATTTTACCAAACCATTTTTTAAAGAGGTTCAATTTACACTTCCATCAGCAGTTGTAGGATTCAGTGGCTCCAAATTATTGTCAGTGCTTGGAATTTGTAGTTTATTCTTGTGACTGTGTAGTGGTATCGCATTGGGTTTTATTTTGTATTTCCCTGGCAACTAATGAGATTGAGCACTTTTTCAAATGTTTATTGGCCATTTAGATATCCTTTTATGTGAAGTGCCTTTTCAAATCTTTTGTCAGTTTTCCTATTGTATTTATCTTTGTCTTATTAATTCATCAGGAATTATTTATATACTCTGGGTAAAAGTTTTTTTGTTAGATACAAGTATTACAAACATCATCTTTCATTCTGTGGGTTCCTTTCTCACCCTCTTAATGGTGTCTTGATAAAATGAAATTCTTAGTCTTAATACAGTCTAATTTATTATTACTTTCCCTTTATGGTTAATTTTAGTTACTTTAGAGAAATATTTGCCTATTCCTAGGTCATGAGGGTATTCTTCTTAATTTTTTTTTCTAAAAGCTTTATTTAATCTTTCACATTTGGCTCTACAATACCTTTTCCTTTCTTTTTCGTGCTTCATTGCATTGGCTAGGATCGCCAGTAAATGTTGAATAGAAGTGATGATAGTGGCAATTAGGACATTATTCCCAATCTCACAGGTAAGAAGTTCAACATTTTATCATTAAGTGTTGTATTTTCTTTAAACTTTCTGAGATACTCTTAATCAGATTGAGCATTCTTTTCCATTTCTAGTTTGTTAAAGGTTTTTTAAATCATGGATGGCTATTGAATTTTGATTATTACACATTTAGTATCTTTGCAATTCTGTGTTAGCCTATCCATCTTTTTTTTTTAAAATCCAAATTGTTGCCTTTTTAATCTCTCTTCTCTTCCATGGTTTTCTCCAGAGGTTATGCCTGGTTACATCTTTTTTTTTTTTTTAATTTTATTATGTTATGTTAGTCACCATATAATACATCATTGGTTTTTGATGTGGTGATCCACGATCCATTGTTTTCGTATAACACCCAGTGCTCCATGCAGTACATGCCCTCCTTAATACCCATCACCGGGCCAACCAATACTCCTCCCCCCTCCCCTCTAAAACCCTGTTTGTTTCTCAGAGTCCATAGTCTCTCATGATTCATCTCTCCCTCCAATTCCCCCCCCCATTTTTCCCTTCCTTCTCCTAATGTCCTCCATGTTATTCCTTATATTCTACAAATAAGTGAAACCATATGATAATTGACTTTCTCTGCTTGACTTATTTCACTTAGCATAATCTCCTCCAGTCCCATCCATGTTGATGTAAAAGTTGGGTATTCATCCTTTCTGATGGCTGAATAATATTCCATTGTATATATGGACCACATCTTCTTTATCCATTCATCTGTTGAAGGGCATCTCAGCTCTTTCCACAGTTTGGCTATTGTGGACATTGCTGCTATGAACATTGGTGTGCATATGGCCCTTCTTTTCACTACATCTGTGTCTTTGGGGTAAATACCCAGTAGTGCAATTGCTGGGTCATAGGGTAGCTCTATTTTTAACTTTTTGAGGAACCTCCACACTGTTTTCCAAAGTGGCTGTACCAACTTGCATTCTCACCAACAGTGTAAGAGGGTTCCCCTTTCTCCACAACCTCTCCAACATTTGTTGTTTCTTTCCCTGTCCATTTTTGCCATTCTAACTGGTGTAAGGTGGTAGCTCAGTGTGGTTTTGATTTGGATTTCCCTGATGGCTAATGATGATGAACATTTTTTCATGTGTCTGTTAGCCATTTGTATGTCTTCTTCAGAGAAGTGTCTTTTCATATCTTCTGCCAACTTTCGACTTGATTATTTGTTTTTTGGGTGTTGAGTTTGAGAAGGTCTTTATAGATTTTGGATACCAGCCCTTTCTCTGTAGTGTCATTTGCAAATATCTTCTCCCATTCCGTGGGTTGCCTCTTTGTTTTGTGGACTGTTTCCTTTGCTGTACAGAAGCTTTTTATCTTGATGAAGTCCCAAAAGTTCATTTTTGCTTTTGTTTCACTAGCTTTTGGAGATGTATCTTGAAAGAAGTTGCTGTGGCCAATGTCAAAGAGGTTACTGCCTATGTTCTCCTCTAGGATTTTGATGGATTCCTGTCTCACATTGAGGTCTTTCATCCACTTTGAGTTTATCTTTGTGAATGGTGTTAGAGAATGGTCGAGTTTCATTCTTCTGCATGTGGCTGTCCAATTTTCCCAGCACCATTTATTGAAGAGACTGTCTTTTTTCCATTGCATGTTTTTTCCTGCTTTGTCAAAAATTATTTGACCATAGAGTTGAGGGTCCGTATCTGGGTTCTCTATTCTGTTCCATTGGTCTATATGTCATTTTTGTGCCAGTACCATGCTGTCTTGGTGATCACTGCTTTGTAATATAGCTTGAAATCAGGCAACGGGATGCCCCCAGCTTTGTTTTTCTTTTTCAACATTTCCTTGGCGATTCGGGGTCTTTTCTGATTCCATACAAATTTTAGGATTGTTTGTTCCAGCGCTTTGAAAAATGTCATTGGACTTTTGATTGGGATGGCATTGAAGGTATAGATTGCTCTGGATAACATAGACATTTTAACAATGTTTATTCTTCTGATCCATGAGCATGGAATATTTTTCCATCTTTTTGTGTCTTCTTCATTTCTTTCATGAGTGTTTTGTAGTTCCTAGAGTATAGATCCTTTACCTCTTTGGTTAGGTTTATTCCGAGGTATCTTATGGTTTTTGGTGCTATTGTAAATGGAATCGTTTCTCTAATTTCTCTTTCTACAGTTGCGTTGTTAGTGTATAAGAAAGCAGCTGATTTCTGTGCATTGATTTTGTATCCTGCCACATTACTAAATTGCTGGATGAGTTCTAGTAATTTGGGGGTGGAGTCTTTTGAGTTTTCCACATAAAGTATCATGTCGTCTGCGAAAAGAGAGAGTTTGACTTCTTTGCCAATTTGAATACCTTTTATTTTTGTTATCTGATTGCTGTTGCTAGGACTTCTAGTACTATGTTGAAAAATAGTGGCGAGAGTGGGCATCCTTGACGTGTTCCTGATCTTAAGGGAAAGGCTCTCAGCTTTTCCCCATTGAGGATGATATTTGCTGTGGGTTTTTCATAGATGGATTTTATGAACTTGAGGAATGTTCCCTCTATCCCTATATTCTGGAGAGTTTTAATCAGGAAAGGATGTTGTATTTTGTCAAATGCTTTTTCTGCATCAATTGAGAGGACCATATGGTTCTTCTCCCTCCTCTTATTAATGTGTTCTATCACATTGATTGACCTGCGAATGTTGAACCACCCTTGCATCCCCGGGATAAATCCCACTTGGTCGTGGTGGATGATCCTTTTAATGTATTGTTGGATCCTATTAGCTAGGATTTTGTTGAGGATTTTGGAATCCATATTCATCAGGGATATTGGTCTGAAATTCTCCTTTTTGATGGGGTCTTTGCATGCTTTGGGGATTAAGGTAATGCTGGCCTCATAGAATGAGTCTGGAAGTTTTCCTTCTGTTTCTATTTTTTGAAACAGCTTCAGTAGAATAGGTATTATTTCTTCTTTGAATGTTTGGTAGAATTCCCAGGGAATCCATCAGGCCCTGGATTCTTGTTTTTGGGGAGGTTTTTGATCACTGCTTCAATCTCGTTACTGGTTATTGGCCTATTCAGGTTGTCAATTTCTTCCTGTTTCAGTCTTGGCAGCTTATAGGTTTCCAGGAAGGCCTCCATTTCATCCAGATTGTTCAGTTTATTGGCATATAGTTGTT